ATCCCCATTCCTAGAGACCAGTGTAGGAGACTTAACTATGAGTAGAAAATGAAATAGCGAGAACGAGAGATGGAGGCTACAAAAGTCGAATTCAAAAGCCCAAAAAAGAAGGAATTTTTTTAAAGAGACGCGTTTCGAAGCGGATAATAAATGTGGATATTGTTTCTCTTGATCAGAGAGGTTTCGTCTACAAGTAAAAATTTTCACCATCAAAGGAATGAAGAGCTTTGTACAGGGCATTTGGCCAAATCCATMTTTGCAAGTGTTTCAGAAGTAAAATACTTCCAGCTTGCAGACCCTTAATTCATTCCTTAATTCTCTTTATTTTTATGGCTTATAAATAACTTCTGTACACAATGATACCAGTCTATATATATTTCTAAAAAGTTGCGAAGACATTTGTTTCTGTTTTCATTAGCAATAAGAGTTGTGTTTGCCCTATGGCCAATACATTGATGTGAGCTTGAGCAAGTAAACCAAAAATATGAAAAGATCAAATTTACACTGAAGTCCCTTCTTATTGAACTTACGATAATATTGTAAGGCTAACTTTTTACTCCGTGACCTAATGTTTGTTCCCCATAGGGTTGTATTAATACCTTTCATATCCTATGAGCTTGTAATAGTTAATTCTTTTAATCTTGTAATTGTAATGTTCAATATTTGAATAAAAGTAAAACGTCCTTTTTGTTTTTGTCCATGCATTTTATCCATGTCTTACCATAGCATTTTTATTACTTAAGATTACTACTACTGTGTTAGAGAACTTTTTTCTTCATTTTTTTGATAACTAGGAGTTGGACTTTGCTCTCCTATGCCCAGAGACACACGGACCTGCCCAATGAACTTGAGACCTTTAAGCAAATATGATTTTTTAAGAAATTATTTTATCAGAATTACTTTGATAAAGAGTTATTCATGGTAAAACATTGAGTTTTTTTTGTACTATTTTTTAAAACCTAATTAGTGTTTTTGAATAATTAATATAAACTTAATAAACATTTCTAGAATTGAAAAATCACTAGAAATAAAATAATAGAACTTACCCACATAAAAACCAATAAAATCACAAAAAATGAAATAAGTGAGATGAAACACTTGTAGAAACAGATTAGTGAGAAAAAATTTTGTTGGAGAGAAACTAGCAAGAGAAAGTACATATGTAGAAAGAAGGTACGTAGTGAAAGAAAGTGCGTCATGAAAAATAAGTAAGAAAGATGTGTATAAAGAGAGATTAGTTAGAAAATGTGGGGTGGAGAGAAGTTAGGGAGAAAAAATGTATGACAGGAGGGAGATTAACGAAAAAGTGTAAAGAGATGTTAGCGAGCAAAGTGTAATTAAACAAAGTGTGTAATAAGAGATTAAGATTTAAGGGTGGAGAAAAAGCATCAACTTAATTGCTTATTTCAAAGATACTTTTCAAGTGTTTTAACATTAAGATAGGAAATATTTTGATCATTCGAAAACATTTTTGTCACAATCAGACATACTCTAAACATATCCAATATATACTCACAAGTTTTGTGTATTAGATTGCATACAAAAATTTAATTAAGAATTAACTTAAATAGTTTTACATTACACGAATATGATTTGATATTTATCTTATTTGATGACACAGTTAAATAGTTAATACAACCAACTTTGTCAGAGTTAGATGAATTTCATTTTTTTCCCTCTTTTGAGTTCAATGAATATGGGATAGGAGATAGAAGAGTGGGATGTTTCCAATTATCAAATTATATGGAACAAGACCTTGGATATATTCCAAAATACAAATATATCAATTAAAATTATCATTCTTTAAACTACTTTCAAGTTCTATTGAGTGTTTGGAAGATAGAGATAGGAATGGAAATGTTACACTGCTGTTTTTTGACACTTCCCCTAAAGAACACTTCATGATAAATCCAGAAAGATGGAGGAAATTTAAGATATGACAGTTTTATAACTTCCCTACAACTTTCATCGTTCACACGACAACAGGCTCTTTGCATAAACTTCCTTTTTCTTTTCTCAACTTTGATTCTTATTCATTAAAGCTATTTGGATGTTTTTTCCTTCTTCCAGTCCTCTTAGCTTTGAGTTGATTTCTTATTATATTAGCCTTCTGTATTTTGCTTCATCTAATGAACATTTCCTTTTTTTCCTTACAGAAAAAGCTAAGCAATTCCATCAGCACAAACTATTCATGGAAGGCTTGTAGTGAAAGAAAAAAAATTAAATCTAAAGAAGCACGGGGAGTAAGAGAGTAATAATAAAATCAGTGAGAAAATATCAAGCATAAAGAAACTTATTTTAGGAAAGTTATTCTGAGTAATATAGTTTAGAAAATTTTACAATCTACAGGAAATTAAGACAATTAAGACACAGTAAGATATCAAACCATTAAAGATAATGACTCTTAAACATTGACAAAATAAATACGAAAAATAGCATGCAGAAAACATAAAAACAAAAAACTATTTTAAGAAAATTATTTTGTATAAGATATTTTAGAGAATATTACAACCAGAGCTCTGCTAATGGCATGTAACAATCACTAAATGAACAAAACCAAAACTCAGATCACAATATGGATAGGCAGAAGCAATTCAATAATTTAATGAAATATGAGTCACAGTAGCATCTTTAACAAGACATTAGATTTTAGAAATCAAGAAATATCACAATTTATAATACATAAAAATAAAAGAAATTTGGAATAATGGAATTCAGAGTAGAATAAGTTCGTCAAACAGTTAATTTTAAAAAAATGATTCACAAGCTTAACTTCATAAAAAGTTACAAAAGCAAAATGGTGCAAAATCATTAAAGTACATACCGATTAAATATTGTTCAGTAGGCCATTCATTTCACGCATCAACATAACCACCGCTGACGCCAAATCGTCTTCAAAATTCTGAAAACAAAGAAAAAGGACCTGAAAGCACGTCGTGGAGTGACCTTAAATTTGAATTCATAATAACAAGACTGTGGAAACTCGTCCAAAATCTAAGAAAAAACGCATCGAGAGAAATTCTGTTAATCACCGAACCGTGCATAAAATAACAAATAAATCAATATATGAATCAAATCGATCAACTAAAACCTAATCTAATCAGATCGACGAATAAAAAAAAATTAATAATTAAGATTATGAGATTGAGCAATCACGATCTAGCTTAATAAACGATTTAGTTTCTTCTTCAACCAATCAAAATCGTAAAGAAATTAAGATTTATAGAACCTAAGAATCACGCTATTGATTGAAGAAACAATATCGTCGTGAAGGAGTTTAACTTGAACTCAGAATAACAAGGACTGCAGCAACTCGTCCGAAATGCAAATCTAAGATAAAATAGGATCGAGACATAGAACTGCAGATACAATACGAGATAAATCGATATATGAATAAAATCGATCAACTAACTCCTACTTTAATCCGATCGACAGACCAAAATACTTTTGATAATTAGGATTATGAGACTGAGAATCGCGATCATTAGTTCAGTAAACGATCTAGTTTCCTCTCCGACTAAACAGAATCGTAAGGATTGCGAGACCGAGCAATCGCGGGGATTGATTAAAGAGAAACAATACAATATCGTTTTCTTAAAGGAAAATCACCGAAACATACTTGCGTTTGCTTAGAACATCGCAAGCAACCAAAAACTTCGAACGAAAATATCATCGAACCTCTCGTCGGAGCGATTACGAGAACGCTCAACTTTCGCGCGCAATTTTCGTCAAGTAAAAATCCAGCTCTCTTCCAAATTCCAGCTTCCCACCTCTTTGCCTTTATATAGGGTACAGGGAGACCCTTACGGCTTGCATTTTATTTAGGGATGAGGAGAAAACCGTAAAATGAGTTTTGGTACTGCGTCTATTTCACGCGGATAAGTACAACGGCGGCGTTTACGGTCAATAGACTTAGGCCAGATGTTAAGAAATTAATGGGCTGATAGAAGCCCAATTATATTTTACATACAGAAGCTGAGCCCAAAGGCCATGTTATGTAGGCCCGGCCCAAATGTTTTTCCTGGTGTTCACACACATTCAATTCAGCCATTTCTTTTTTATAATTTATTTTTTAAAAATTGTATTGGCTGGCAAAATTATTCGTCATTTTTAAACGAATGTAACCCTCTTTTTTAATTCCCAAATATAGCAAAATATCATAATTATTATATTCGAATTCCAATTTTACATAGATCTCATTGTAATTTCCTTATTCGCATTTAGGTCATTCTTTATAGTCTTTCTTCTTCACGCTCTTTCTTATTTCCGTTCCTAATATCAACTTTCAAGTTCTTCTTTATTCACAATCGATTCTTCTTCATTTAATTTCTTCTTCTTTCGGGTCTTCAGTAGATCTCGCACAATTTTCCTTCGTTTAATTGATTCTTCTTCAACAAATATTCTTCTTTCTCGTTCGCGTTTGGCCTATTTCTTTCTAGTTTGCCATCTTTAGCAGATTCATGAAAGTTGAGATTCTTCTTCTGTGTTGGAATTCTGATTCACAATCTAAGGTTCAATTTTTCAAAATTTTAGAGTTTTAAAATATAGTTTATCACATCTATTTGTTGATCAATATAAACTTTAAATAAGTTGCACATTTTTTGTTGTGTTGGCCATAATCAAATGCAATAAAATATCCACCGGCTTCAATTTTTCATAAAATTTTGACCACAACTCTATGTTTTTTTGTTGGCTCCTTCTCCTCATCTTCCACTCTCTCTCTTCATTTTTTTTTTCTCTTCACCTTTGTACATACATACTGTGCCTATCTAAATCGATCTATTTGAAAAGGTCTCAAATCAAAACAATGATACTCAAATTAATGAACACATGATAAGTGAAGAAGGCGAAGAATTGAAACGCTAAAAATCATACAACCAAATTCTAATATATACTTGATATACCTATAATTCTGATTATTCTATCTTTGCCAAATATTTTTACATGTCCAAATTTAGTGTTTGGGAGAGTAACCACGTATGATCCATAAAGTGTATTTATATCATTAGTATATTATTAACTTAGTTAACCTTCAAAATAGTATATAGTATTTTAAATATTAAATGTTGAATGAACTCAAATGTTCTACTTTTTTTTAGGAGTTTTTTCAATTTAGTCCTTTTGTTTTAAAATTTTTCGAATTAGTCCTTTATTGTTGGCAAATGTTAAAATTGGTTGATGATAAATTACATGACATAAAGAAGACAATTTGAAATTTCTACCAATCCCTAAAAATTTGAAACATAAATTAGAAACTTTCTTCATGTTTCTTACTATAATTTTCATCATTAGTATCATCAACCAATTTTTACCTACTGTGAAAAATTTGAAAATCCTTTTTAGTACAACAAGTGGGTTGAGAATTTTAACTGATCACTTCAGGTTGACCCCTAAACTGAAAACTAATTAGACAAAATTTTAAAAAAAAATGATGTAATAAAACATATATTTTAGACTAAAAACACCTATTTAAGGGTTGTTTGGACACAAGGACCAAAAGACAGCCGGCTAAGCCCGGCAAATTTTGATTCCCCAGTGAAGTTCTCAAGACTAAGTTGTATCCAATGGGATTGAGAATTATGTTATTGCACAAATAAAAGAAACCAAACAAGACCAACCAATTAAAATAAGGCCATGCAAAAACTTTGTCGTTAACATTCAAACTTACATTAATTTCTTCACGCGATAATATCAAATATAGACATACAAAACGAGACGAGCATAAAACAAAGCCTTTTTTTTACAGCTACGTCTAAGAGTATTGTATATATATTGTGCACTCTCTGACTTTTCATTGTACATTGGCTCATGGCAAAAAGGGTTGGAATTTATCTTTGCATTCTTATTTTTGTGTTTCTTGATGTTACAAATTTGACCATCTCCCAATTTGTATCTCCTCCTCCATCACCCCTATCAAATGTAACCGGTAGTCCACCACCGCGGCCACCGTCGAACGGGACTGATAGTCCTCCTCCGCCACCGCCGTCGAATGGCACCGATAGTCCACCTCTATCGCCCGATGTTATTCCACCTCCGCCACCGCCGTTGAACGGGACCGATGCTCCACCTCCACCACCCCTGTTGAATGGGACCGATGCTCCACCTCCGCCACCCCCCTTGAACGGAACCGATGCTCCGCCTCCGCCACCGCCATCCAACGGAACCGATAGTCCTCCTCCGCCACCCCCATCGAACGGAACTAATGCTCCACCTCCGCCACCCCCGTCCAACGGGACCGACACTCCACCTCCGCCACCGTCGTCCAACGGGACTGACACTCCACCTCCGCCACCGCCATCCAACGGGACCGATGCTCCACCTCCGCCACCCCCATCCAACGGAACCGATAGTCCTCCTCCGCCACCTCCATCGAACGGAACCAATGCTCCACCTCCGCCACCCCCGTCCAACGGGACCGACACTCCACCTCCGCCACCCCCGTCCAACGGCACCGATGCTCCGCCTCCGCCACCCCCATCCAATGGAACCGATGCTCCACCTCCRCCACCACCGTCGTCGAACGGGACGGACTCCTCTCCACCGCCACCACCGAATGTCAACATCTCACCACCTGCGCCAGATGTTGGTTCATCTCCGCCGCCGGCGCCAAGCACACAGCTACCGTTGAATGAAAAGGGTGGCGCAGATTCAAAAGGGCTGAGTGGTGGACAAAAGGCAGGTATCGCCTTAGGAGTGATTGCAGGAGCAGGTTTGTTGGGATTTGTAGGATTGATTTGCATGAAACGACGTAGTAATAGCATGAGAAGCCATTATGGATATGGTGCAAGAGACGCGATGCTTTAACAATGGATTTTTTCCCTCCATGTTTTCAAACTTTTGGTTCCATATTTTGTTCTTCCACAAAAGCGAGGCAGAGATTATGAAATTAATGTTTTTTTTTTTTTTTTGTCAAAAGTAATTCAATGTGATCCTTATTTTTCAAAAAGCGAGGCAGGCATTTTCTTCTTTCTAAAATTGGCCCAATTCATAAGCCCATGAAAGCCACAGTACTTTTATATTTTTATTTTTCAGGCTAAATATATTTAGTCTTTAATGCTTTTGTAATTTTTTAAATTTAGTATAAGTACCTGATAGGTAGGGATATTAATTCTGACCTCTTGATTAGAGATTAGTGCATTAACTAGTTGAGTTGTGGTCCGATGGTTTATTCTTCAAATAAAGTTTCAATTTAATTCCGTACACATATATGTCAACATTTTTTCTTTTAGTCTCTCATCGTTGGTTAATGATAATAGCTAATGCTAAACTTACCCAAATTAATACTTAGTAAATCGATAGAAATTTAGAGAATAAAAAAGTTATGTAATAGATAAAAATTCTTAATTCATTCTCCAAATTTATAAGAAATTGAAAGAAATTTCGAGTTTGTTTCTCTTACATTATCTTTTTTTTCTTCTCTTCTAATTTTTTGTCAAACCACATATCATGTCATGTATGTATATTATCTACAAATTTAAATAATAAATAGTATGGGAATACATTGAAATTTTTTTAAATATAAAAGACTAAAAAATGAAACTTTTTAAAACCATTAAAACAACATTGAAAAATACTAAAAAGAACACACACACAATCCATATACTTTTTTCCTTTTAAGTTTTTAGAATATCATATTAAAAATGTTTGAGGTTGGATTTTAACCTATGACATCCTTAGGGAGATATTTGAGGCACAAATTTGACATCTCAAAGATTTAATAAGCTTGAGGTTTAAGAAGAGGGTTTAGTAAGTATGAGTGATATAAGAAAACTATGTTTGAGATGTTAGGTTTAGAAAGTGTAGGTTAGAAAAATTGTGGGAAACTTGAATAGTAACCTATTGTTTAAATTAATATATAGTTTTTTTTATTAGATTCATTTCACAAAGAGTAAGAGTGTTTATCATTTAGCATTCGATTTTTGTTGACTACCACTAAAATTTTGACATATAGGATCGATAAGCTTAGAAAAATATTTTTTTTTTCTTTTTAAAAATAAATGATTATCAAATTTCTAAAATGGATAACAGTTAAATAAATAATTTCTTCTATGAATCCTTCCACATTTGTGGGTGAACTTGCTCATATATAATTAGTTCATATTATTCTTTCAATGCACAATGATTAGAAGGTTGGGGCATGTTGTCCAAAAAAAATAAATTATTATTGACAAATCATTACATTTTCTTTAATTAAATTTTAATTTTTAACCATTCAAATTTTAAAATAATAAATGTCTTCTAACRAACCTCCATTAAAGGCACAAGACAAAAATGGTAGGATTTCTTTGCCAAAAAGTCATTGTAGCATATAGAGAAACATATTCTAATTCAACCCCTTTAATTTAAKATTGTAAACATTTATTAACTTCATTCACATTCTCATATATTTATCTATTTATTATTTTCTCGGTCAAATTTATTGAATATTGTTAACTCAATAACTTAATCATTACACTTCTAAAAGTAAAAGAACCAAATCATTTTAAATACAATTACAAAAATCAAAAKATCATAAGAGCAAAAAATCAGAAGCAACCGTGAGATTGACTTTAAGTTGATCAGGAGGTTATGCTGTATGTTTTTCTTTTTTAATTTTCGAGAGTGAATGTTGAAGTTTAGACTACGATCAGGTGTGAAAATTACTCAACTAAAGATGTAYGGAGGATCGACAACCATTGTGGCTATTACAGTTCAAATCCACAATGGTTGGTGCACAATCCACAGGCTTCTTARCCAAAAGAAAAAAAAATGGCATGCCTTTAATCTAAAGTTTTAGTCTAATCTTAAAACAAATGGCAAGAGGATACGAAGCTGATAAAAAGAGTTTCGAAGAAGAAGATGTGGGCAAATTCAAAAAAAAAAATTTGATAGAATTACTTTTTTTAATAATAACAACATGCTTGACGATAAAAAAATATTTTTTACAAGAAGGTTGATTAGATATATTTTTTTCATTTGCTATTCAATATTTTTTGATTTCTTATATTATTTTCATCTCATTATTATGTGCATCACCAGCAACCTGGAGTATATTATTAAAAATCGAGCTTGAAACTATTATCCCATCTATGACACGATAATYGATGAAGGTTGGWGTTGATGCAATTTTTGGGAACTCGRGTMGGGTCGAGCAAACCAAGTAATTCGGGGAATCGACCGTCGAGCTTTTGGATAAGRATTTGATTCGAAAGTTTGGAGGGGCTTGGATCTGCAATAAGAGAGAAAATAAGAAAACACCGGTGTGGTGTCGGCCGACCACACTCCGATGCTTAAGTCAGTTGATGAGCTTTAACCGTGGAAGAGAGGAAATGAGCAAGTCTCGAGTGAGTTGCTTGAAAGAGAATGACATACCTCCCTTCTATTTATAGGTTTTGATGGTAGTGTGAAAAGGTGTTGAAAAGTCAAAGAGGTTTTTGTCAAAGTCAACCGCCGCTCTATAATTGGCTCTATAATGAGACCAATAATTGCGCAAAGAAAGTCGGTGGGCATCTTACGTCAAATATCTGCGCTATGGTGGCAGCTTCGTTGGCGGTGGTCAAAGAAAATGGTTGAAAAAGAGGGTGCGACCTAATAGGCTGCACAAAAACGAGGCCTACAGCCACAAGGCGACGGCTCCGCTCACCTGTCCCCCTTTCAGTGTTTTATTGTGCGGCTGGAAGGGGGTGCCGCACAATGCATGGTTATGTCATGCATTTGCGTCATGTMTTGTGCATCCCATTGTGCATCTCATTGTGTTTTGGACTGATTTTTTCTTTAACGGATTGGGTTCTCTTGGGCCCAATTCCTTTCTCACTTTATGGCTGCCAAATCTCTTTTAATTCCTCTAACAGTTGGTCACAACTAGTCCGAAAGAGATCTAATTAAGATGAACAAAGGACATATTTTAACCTACAAATTCATCCAAATGTTKGTTCTTTTTTTCCTTTTTTCATACATATATATATATAGGAAGGTTATTTTGAGATGTGGACGTAGGTGTATGAGCTGAGGAGAGGATACAAATGTTCGATTTTTATGGCTTAGTTCCACTTCCAAATCCACTCTGTCTTTCTCCTTAAATAATGGCACCCTCTCCATTCCCTGCACACAAAATGCCAAATCCTCATTAAAACTCCCCCATATCGTTTTCCCATCCATTCGGATTTTTTGTCATTTTTTACCTAAAAAAAACTTTTAAAATAAAAGAGTACATAAAATAAAATCTTCGTGAAATTGGATATTTTTATTCAAAATGGAAGATAATCCATTTAGATTAATTTTAATATAATTCAATTAATTAAAGTATTATAGCAAATTCGTTGCCGTGTTCATATTCATCAAAACTTGGAAATTTTTTTTTTAAATATCTAGTAGAAAATTTGTAATTTTATATCATTAGCGTATTAGGTTACGGCCTTCCATATCTAATATCGTGGATTTTCTGTTGGTGATCCGTAAAKATCTTGTAGATGATATCCCTCCAGGTTAGGGCGACGACTTGAACTCCCACTTTGGGACATAAGAGTTCAGACTGAGATTCATCTTTGTCTTTAATGTACCCGAGCTTARGCTCATGACGTGCCTTGATCTAACTCTAACATATATTGTTATAACTAAACATTCACTTTAAGGAATTAAAATAGGAAGCTTTCTAACAAAAATATGGCTAGTGCCCCGTCCTTATCAACCTGAACTATTGTGTAAGGACCAAAGGAATACAATCTTTGTTTTATTATTTCAGAAGAAATATGTATCTCATAATGTTTTGTGGTCATGTAGTTTTCTTCATATGTATTATTTACTCTTTGTTTATCATTCCTTTGATCTTTGAAACGTGTACTTTTATCACTTTTTAGAATTTTATATTTAATTATTCAACTTTTTTAATATCTCGTTAAACATTATATATGTAGTAATAATAATATATATTGGTAAATAGTTTTTTATATCTAAAGTTAGGATCTAGAAGATTGATCATTTCTAAATAGTTTAGAGATGGAACGTATTTAATGATCTACAAATTTAAATAACTTTGTAATTTAAAAAAGTAACAAAATCATGGGAATCTGCCCAATTAAAATTTGAGAGCATTTGATTAACAAAATTGAATGGTTAGGATTTACGAGGTTGGAATTTAAAATTTTATAAATGAATTTTTTAAGTCTAAAATTGTGTAGTACATATTTGATCTATAAATAAAGAGATTTACGCCTAGGACAATAAGATAAATAATAAATCAAATGAATATTTGTAATAACCCATTTAATATTAAAAACCTCATATTTGTATGAAAATTTATTTAATGACGTATATGTAATAACTACTTTTAATGTTTTTTAATACTGTGAATATGAATATGGAAATTGAACTTTCGACCTCTAAGAGAATAATCAAGATATTTTAACSGCTAAATTATAAATGTCATACAAATATTGAGGTATTAATTTTATGGAACTGTAGATTAATATTTTTGAAAAATTATAAAAATAAAAGAAATTTATAACAAATATTTAAATTAACAAATGAACAATATAAATGAATTAATAAATTAATTTTTTAAATTAAAAATATTAATATTAAGATATTGGTAGTGATATTTTATTGATATTTTTATATTGTATTAATTTTTAAGTAAAACTATAAAAATATCAATTCATCTTTGTCCAGTTAAAGAATACAAGCAAATTTCGATAGGAATATGGATGCTTAATTCGTAAAATATTTACATATTTAAAAAAAAAAATCCGATTGGCAACACAAAGAGAAAACTTTATTTGTTTTTAATTAGAAACATAAGAAATTTGATTCCCTGTGAGTACGGAACCAACCAAAGGGATATAGTATCATTCTATAGACGCTTGCCCTACCTGCGCTGTGGCAAGGTTACTCGCCAGCACGTAAGCAACAAGTGGACCCCACTGAAATCCAATCCAAGGGTATTTTCGTCTTAGAGGGAGAATTTTTAGAAAGACGTATTGTTTTTTTACGAAAAAAGATAAAAATAAATAAAAAGAAAACCAAAGCGTGTTGAGTGCGTCTCCATCCCCTCTTGCCGACGGGTTTGACGGTGGGCCCCACACTAACGACAAGAGCGCGGGAGAGATAAAAATTAAAATTTCTTAATTCTTAATTGTTATTTATTTTTTATTTTTTTCCAGGAAACTTGACCGTTCCTCGTGGTTAAAATAAACGAACATGGACCGTCCGATGAACCCACCGTCTACCGACGTGGACTCCTCGCCGATCGTTGAAAAGATCGAGCCGAACCCATGGTTATGTGCGGCTCTTAACCTCGTCCCGGGTTTTAACAGCTAAACGTAACAACAAATTTCCTGGCTGTAACGGTGTCGTATGCGACCCTAGAGAAAACAAAACGGTGTCGCATAGTGTATACTTTTTTACTGTCTGTTTTAGATAATGGCAGCTTGGAGGTACCGACTATAAATAAATAAACATGTAAAATTTAAGCCTCCAACTAAAAAGAAAAAACCTTAATGCAAACCTAACTTAACATTTATTATCAATTGAAAAATTGATGGTTGAATAAAAAAATTCGACATTAACAAATTTATTAAAATTAATGGTAAATTTTGTTTTAGAAAATGTTAAAATTTCTTTGAAAAGGTAAATTATTTTTGGAAAGATATTCAATATAGTAGAAAGATAAATAAAAAAAATAATAATTAAATTTTGATGGTCAACTTGAACATAGTTTAAATTTTTTTCCTTTTTTTTTTGCAAATGTAAATAACATATTTTAAATTAGTTAAAGGTTAGAATTACTACTACACATTATATAACTGAAATAAAAAATAGAAATAAAAATATTGGTTAAATTATAGTTCCAAGTTCTTAACTTTCTTGTTTCCACTTTTGTCCTTGTTTTTTCTAAAAAAAAAATATTTTAGTTTTCAATATATTTTTTAATTGATTTGAAATAACATCTTTTTCAATAACCACTAAAAAAAACTGAATATTAAATTATTAATAGCATGAAGCTGGTAGTATAAACACCAAATTGTGTTGTCTACTTGTCTGCAATCAATGTAATGCTGAGCCACAACTTCGTTTCTTCACAGTTTATGGGTTTCGAAATTTACTCGTGGAGTACAATATTCATTTTAAATATTTTTTAATAAAGAACTCCACTTTACTTTGAGAAAAACAAAAAGTGTTTTGTTCAAAGTTTTACTTGGGCGAATACAAAACTAAATGTGTCAACAAAGTTAGAATATAAAAAATCTTCTCCATTTTTCTATAAGATTCATTTTTTAATTTGAAGGACTTGACTTTAATTGGAAGTGGTTATGAGATTTCAGAGGCTTTTATAAAAGCTTCGAGTATCCTTCATCCCCAGAGCCAACGTTTGAATTTGATATTTTGTCTTTACTTTCTCCCTACTTCGAGCTCTTTAAAGCTATTGAATTTAATGTGATAGAGTATCAATATTGACATATTAAACATTATTATTTTGGAGTAACATATATATAAAATATTTAATAGTATTCATGTGGCTGATGGAGTTGTAGCCTTCAACAATCGTCAAAATAGAGGAATAAATTTGAATGGAAGACGTTTCAAAGGCGTTATAAAGTTTACAGAGAAAAAATATGTCTTATATCTCTAATTGTTGGCTTGTACCTCAAAAAAAAATTTGTTGGCTCGTAGATGTATCCTTCTCAAAATAAATAAATAAATAAATAAATAAATAAATATATATAACAAAAATAGAAGGCAAAAGAATAGATAACTAAACTATATATGTTTTATTTTATCTATTTCTTTCTACTATGCGTTTGGTAATTATCATTTGTCTAATAAATACGCATCATTGTCATTTAGTTGACATTGTTTACAACATTAATTAAAATCGTAATCCAAAGTTTATTATATCATCTATATGTCACAGTGCGTCAAATCAACTAATATTTAGGTGTGTTTGGGAGTGATCACAGTGTGCCAAGTCAACTAATATTTATGTGTGTTTGGGAACGATTGTAGAATAAGTGATTTTGAAAAAAGAAAATTTGAGTATAATTGATTTCAAAAAACACTATCAAAGTAATACCTTAAAAATCAATTCAAAGTGATTTTAAGTTTTCTTAAAATTAATTTTCTAATTTACCAAACATGATCAATGGAAAATAAAGTGATTTTGACAATAACAAAAATCACTCTCAAACACACCTTTTGTTTGATTGGCAATGTCACGTTATCATTTAATCGAATATCTTAACAAAAAAATTGTCCACACAATTGACATCTACTTCTTTATTTAATGTCAAATATTTAAATGTTCATATCTCCACGTCTTTTATAACAAAAATTACATAAAATTCCAAAGTTCATAAACCTAATTGAAATCAAATTGATATTTATTTTATCCTGGTTTAATTTGGCAACCTTACAAAGTTGTAATTTTTATATTATATATCATTATTATATTAAATAAATGGCATTGTTTTTATTGTTAAGAAGCATAAAAACTACTTCACTTATGCATATATTTTGCCTGCTGGTCGCATTTCTCTTTTATCAAGAAATCAAATAGACTATACAAAAATTTTGCGAATCAAAGTTCGAGAAAAGAAAGTTTTTCAATCATCGACTCAAATTTATTGTCGAACTCCACCTCGCAAAATACAGAGATATTTATGGCAAAACGAAATCCTCCCTTCTTTGATCCATACGAGCCGTGCAATTCCTTTATAAATAAATACACCTTGATCACTTATTGATGCACAAAAAAAAAATCAAATACATTTCCTTTAAGAAAATGAGAAAAAGAGCATAGTTTGTTAAAACAGAGAACTAAAAATAAATTCGTGTCTTAAAATGGGGCCTAGATATTTGGATTGAAAAAAAAAACACTGGGGATTTTATATTATTTGACCAAAAAAAAAAAGAAAAATCCCTCAACTTCATCCCTCTCGAACTGGATAACCACTATTTATTTTATATGAAGAGAGAGAGAGAGAGAAGGGGGTGCGCGCGAGAGAATGTAGGTGCGGCTTCT